GTGGAGCCCAAGTCTTCCCTCAGGGATCTGTGCCAGAACCAAGGTTCATTTCAACATATTTACAGGAGGAGAGGAATAGCATCATGATTAAAACTACTAGTGGTACAGATTTTGAGGGGTTGAAAAGACCGGAACAACTGAAAAATAACAGTAAATTAGGTTCTGCCTCTTCCTTATCTCAAAAGGGATGCCAAGGTAGGGGTTACAGTTATAGGGCGGGGCAGAGGGGAGGAAAACCAAAATGAATCCAGGGAATAACCAAATAAAGAATAAGCATGTGGAGTCAAAGGATGAAAATGAATAAACAAGGAAACAGAAGAGGACATGACTATAACAAAGAAACCTGTAGTCTGATTCAGCCTGGCCGCTCTTATCTTCTTTCTTCCTATGTCTAAATATACCTACATACTGCTTTTCAGACCCAGCTTACTGCCAAAGAAAATGGAATTAAAATACGGATTTAGTTGAACACTCTGACAATGGCACTTCAGAAGGCAGCATAAAATTAAGCACTACCGTGTTTTACCAAGAGGAAAAATGGTCTTCCTGAAATTGTTTTTACACACTAAGAACAAGCGTCAGCAAATCATGTAACTTTATTTTTACTACGATAACAGCAGCTGCTACTCTTAATTCATCTAAATGTCTTTAAACAGTTAAGAACAAACATGCAACACAAACTCAAAGCTTTCCTCTTGGAAAAGCATACATGTGCTCGGTTTAGCAAGCGCTCAATTAAATTCTAGTCTACACTGCAGCTCATTATAAATCCACTCTTCAACAGCCACAAAACATTTCAGTTCAAAATTGCCTACCCAGCTTTCACAACCCAGTCCTTAAACTCCCCCATGTGGCTAACTGCTAAATAACATTTCTTTACTCAGACCCCAGAAACTCGCAAGGGACAACAAAGACAAAGCAGCCCCCAAAACATGGACAGAGCCACAGAAAACTGAACTTGAAGCTGAAGCCACCGGAGAGGACGGAGCAGAACACTGCTCAGTTCTACAAACCACAGGGCCAGAAAGAGCAGGAGTCACACCGCTCAGACTTGATCCTCACAGGAATGGATTTCCCTTCACCCCTCTAGGCTAATTACTTCTTCCAAAAACGATGATGGTGTTCCTCCACAAACAGCACTAAAGAATCACTCTACTGTTCAAAGAGACTATGTTATGAAAAGCAACATCTTTCAATAAAATGTATTTTATACAATCTCAGGGCATTAAAGATCTCAGTAGCATTCAACTGATACATTGTATTTTGTTGATGCGTATTCTCCCCACTTTAAAAATTAAAACGTATTATCCTCTCCCACATCATGTTCACTGGTGAACAGTCTTTAATCTAAGAACAGGAAGTTACAGTAGTGAAAATTAATCCCTGAATTTAAATACACATAACCTACAAAGTATTGTGAGATCCTCCTAGAAATGCAACACCTCCTTGTGAATTTAGTGCTTGTCTGAGGAGTAGACAGGGAGGTGGCAGCAACACTTTAATCAAAGATCAACTGCAGAGGTAGAAGCAATGCAGCCTTCCTTTACACTTTCTCCGGCCCTTGGCTGGTGAAGCCAGTATCAGAGAAAAGAATTCCCTTCACGCATACTCATCGCCACCTCTGACCAGAATAACACCAACAAACAGGGTGAAATGCAGTAGTTACTATGTCACAGGTCCTTGGCCACTGAAATCTGACAAATATGTTATCAATCATCTTTTCAGAACCTACAACTAAACAGCCAAAACCTAGTCATGCGTCTTCTGGATTTTCAGTTACAGTAAGGCAAATTTAGCTGTAAATGACCTAAGTAGAAGAGACTTCACATCCTATAACTGAACTTGCCAAAATACCATTGAAGACAGCAAAACCATTCACAAACATTTACTGTAGCACTAACAAGACAGAAATCAGCACTACACATCTATATTTTATAGACAGGAAACCAAAGCACATTTATTTTAAACTATGTGCATGTTATCCACACGAGAGAAATCTTAATCCTTCCTTTTCAAAGCCTCTTTTATACTTTACATACAATTGTTTGACCCTTACAGCCTAAGGGAATCAACATAACTACATATATATTTAAACACACTCAGCTTTCCTTCAGCCAAGAACTAACCCAAAGAAATATCAACACACCTGTAGAAATCACTCTCTGGGTCACTATGCCTCAGCTGAAAGGGCATTTTGGGGGTTTTGCTATCCAGAGGAAGCAGGTCATCAGGGAGAGGTGGAGAGGCCGGACAAGACGGCAGGGGTTCGTTGTCTTCAGTTTTTATGCCTTCTGCCTGCTGCTGGTTTTGAGCCTGAGCCATGGCAATCAGGCTGCGCAGCCGCCTGTTGTGCTGGATGAGCTGAATGGTGTGAATCGTGAGGCTGCAGGGCTCTGAGGGGATGTCCAACATGGTGGTCGGCCGGGGTTTGTTGGCGGATGGCTGATGCAGCGGAGGATCTTGGACTTCCACGGTACGAAACTCGCGCTGAAGCAGGTCAAAGGAGCTGCGGTTGGCCTGGTTAGATGAAACCGGAATCTCGCCCCAATATCGCAGCATTTTTACACAGGCCACGTATTGTCCTCTGAGCCCAGAAGGCGGCCACCAAACACTGTGGCCCAAAGGAGTCTGGTGGCAGGGGAAAGCGCCAGGCTTTGGGCCACAACAGGCGCTAGAGCTGGGGTGACGCTCTGAACCAAGCCAATGGCGAGGGTCAGGAGAGCTCCGGCTCAGCGCCTCGCCTCACGGGGCAGCTGCCGCGACGGCACCGGGGCGCAGCTCCGGCGTTCATCAGACTGCACTGCTGCACCTCCTGAGGGGAGAAGCGGACAGAAAGGCACGGTGAGGCGGTCGGTGCTTCTGTTTGTAACGGGGGCTGCTGCGGCTCCGGCTGGGCACCTCGCTGAGCGGCCCCCCGGCGCGCCCTGACTTCCGTGGAGACACTCCGAGGGCCGCACTCGGCTCGCCCG